TTTCCCATCCGATACCCTTTTTCCCTGCACGCAAAAGAGATGAAAACATAGGCAACATGAGTTCACGTGTTAAACTCTAAAGCAGCAACAGTCCGCACTGTTAGCGAACTAAATGCTTCTGGCTTAGCGCAAAAAAGTATCGGCAACCTGATTGTACCTTTCGTATCACAGAAGAAAATTTATCACTCTTAGGCGAATTTCTCATACAAAAGCAATCAGAAAAATAATCATGAATCTACAGAAAGTATGCAGTAAATTAGCATATCGGGGCATTCAACTGAAACACAATTCCATTAAGACTCATTTGGCTTTTGCTGTCTTTGCTGGTGCTCTTGGTGCTGCTTTCGCCTGAAAAACGTTCTTTTCCTGTACTTCGTTACGAAAAACTTTTCCACTCGCGCATACGCGTCTGTCTATGTTTACGACTCACCGACCAAACATTGCGGTATGATCTGTACGTGTAGTGCTAATATCTCGGCTCAATATCTTGGCCTTTCTATTCTACGTTGTTTTTCTAATTTCATCTGTTTTGAATTTTTTGGAAAGATGGAAAAAGCAAATTTCCGAATGATATCCATGCAATGTCAGTTGATCACTATCACTAAGATGGAGAAATCGACGTAACGCTTCTATGGAGCTAACAAAACTTTGAATATGAGTGGGATAGCTGCACTTTTGATCGAAAAGAATACGATGTTTCTGCAGCGCACAGATACCAGAGAGTCTTTGTTGGTAAAAACATACAAAAACACAGAATTCTGAAATATCCAATGATAAGTCATAGGTTAGAAAGACTTGTGATTTTGCGTCAAACACAGACTTCTCATTTGTGACAAACCTTTGTGAACTTCTGTTCATTTTCAGCGAAATACGTGCAGATTCGAGTATTTAAGAGAACTTTGATGAAAGTGGCTGCTTGATGAAGGGAAGTAGCAAAGGAGGGAGAGAAGACGAAAGAAGGAAAAAGCTCGATGCCTGCGGCACCAAAAGAATTTCTAACATCTAAAAATAAATTAAACAGTTTTAAATAAAATGGGGTTTACTCGAAAAATTTATTGTCCAGAATTTTGTGCTATAAATCTATAAACTTACTGCAGGTTTCGGCGGTGCGACAGGTTGCTTTTTGCTTTTAGTTGATAGTGGAGGAGGTGCAGGTTCTGGCTCAGGCTCAACTTCAGGTTCCTTGACAGGTTCTTCTGTCTCATCGAGTTCCTCTTCAGATTCACCAGGAACTTTTAGAGGTTTTGGTTGTACCGGAGGTCGAGCGTCTTCTACTGTTACTTGCTCACGATAGCGAGGCGGCTCTAAGGTTTTCCGAATCGATTCTAGCTCCTCATTGGTACGTCGGCCCCACTCTGGAGGTGGGCGTCCAGTACCACGAACTAATTTCTTTCGTTTTTCAACCGGAGGCTGAAAGTATTATCAAGTAATTTAATCTGACTGGTAAAAATTCCCCGCAACTTGATTATAATTATTACAAAAACACTTTTGAGTTTTCCAGAGTGAGTTACCTGAGGCTACAGAAGTCAGCCCTCGGAAGCCACTATATGTGCGTTTTCGTAACTTGTAATTCAAGTGCGCCAAGACTCGACTCTGCTTATATGGCAAAAATTAACGCCGGTGGTCTCCCAGTAGAAGCTTACGTAATTGTGAAGGGTGAGTTAGGAAGTGTGGCATTGAATTCTTTGATTTTTAAACATTTCAGTACTACTTGGTCCCCGCAATTGTACTGCCGCTTACTCCGCATTAAATTTCGAAACGTCTGGAGGCTACTTAACGAGCAGTTTAGGTGTGATAGTTTTAAGACGGTGAACATGAAGGCTACTGATACTTGGGCTGAAGCACGCCAGCATTTCTTCCTGAATAGATATATATGAAAACATATATATCTATTCAGGAAGTATATGGAAATATATATATCTATTCAGGAAGAAATGCTGGCGAGAGATGCATATGGAAAGATGCTAGATATGGAAAGATGCAAAAAAAA